CTGTCTGTCACGAAATTCCGTATTAAGCGAACAACAACCTACAGGGTCCAGGTCAAGTTTGGGATGGGTATACCATATCTCGAGAAGTAAAAAACACACATCAGCCTAAGCGGAGCCCCGCCCACAGTGGGCGTGGCGTGCATCGAAATGAGTGGTACTGAGGACCATGATTTCAAATTCAGTCACAAAACAGCCTCGAGACCGGGACAAAAGTGGGTATAGGTGTGCGTTGGTGCCTGGCCACGCGCGCGCCGCTCCTGTCCGAGCGCGCCGCCTCGGCCTCGGAAGCACCGGCGCGCGAAACCGCACAGCAGCGCTTCGGCCGGGAAGTCGCGCGCACCGCCTACGGCAACTGCCTCAAGGGCGAATTCCCCGGCGCAGGCGCCGGCCTGCTGAGCCTGCCCATGTTCCTGATCTCCGAAGCCAGCGGCCGCTGCCAGAAGTGATGTTCCGCTCCCCCACCGCTCCCTTGTCCATGAAACGCCATCTCGCCCCTCTCGCCGCCACGCTCATCGTCACGCTGCCGCTCGGTGCTGCGTTCGCCCAGGCCCCCGAGCCGACCAAGCTGCCGCCCGTCAGCACCGAGCTCAAGCGCAACAAGGACGCCCTGCCCTACAAGCAGATCAACGAGTTCCTGACCAAGCTCGACCGCTACGGCGAGGGCCTGTTCCGCATGGACTTCAAGATCGACACCACGCGCACCACGCTGCCGCTGGAACAGCTGCGCATGGTGGTGCGCAGCGATGACGCCGATCACCCCATCAAGCTCGATGCCAAAGGCGGCTTCAAGCTGCCGCTGCTGCCCGAGGCCGAGGCCAAGAGCGCCGACCTCGCCACCAACGCCCTGCCCGAGCAGAAGGTCTCCATCGCCGGCTCGCTGGAGCTCAACACCAAGCCCGAGGCCCTGGACATTGCCAAGGTGCGCCAGATCGTGCGGGTAGGTTTCAAGCTGCGCGACGAACTGCTGCCGTGGTACCTGCGCTGGCTCTTCCCGCGCATCGAAGGCGTGCGCGTGTGTGCCACCACGCCGGCCTTCGAGCTGGAGTGGCGCGAGAACGGTCAGCTGCTCGGCCTGCCACTGCCCGTCGGCGAGCGCGACCCGAAGGTCAAGAAGGGCCTGCCCGGCCGCCCGTGCGCGCTGATCACCGGCCAGGAACGCTGGCCTGAAGACGCCCGCCTCATCGCACCGGCCGATGCCGAGCTGAGCGTCAAGCTGCAAGGGCAATGACGCTGGCGACGGGCAACCGCTGGCCGGCGC